GACCAGGACAACTTGCTGATGCAACAATGCAACCCTCACGATGGACGAACTAGAAAGTGACAGCAATCAGTATCGTGTGTTGCTGTTTACGGTTGCGCGACTGCGCAGTTCCCATCAGTGACGAGTGACCATCAAACGCTCGTGACTACCGACTAAACACATCAGGTTAAGCACGAAGTTGAAGAAAACATAACGGACAAGGCAACAGGGTGAACACCTGCTACTAGAGCTACTAGAGAAGTGAAACGGCCCCTGCATTGAGGGGTACAGAGAAGCGAGCTTCTAAGCAGATCAGGACTCCATCTGTCCTACAAAAGACTGTAATCTCAAGGGGCCTGAATAGTTATGGCTGGGTTTGGGGGCAAATGATCCAACATTTCACTCTGACTCTAGGGACTGTTGGGGAAACCCGACTATACTTTTTCAGACCCCGGTGCCTGTATCACACTGGCGACGAAGGTTGAGGCTTGGCTTTGGGCTAGGGAGGCGGGGCTGTGGAGGTTTTTGGCTTTAGGGTGGTGTTAATTTGGGTTTAGGGTTGAGGGTTTAGGAGGGCAAAGATCAGTTCTTAACATGTTCAAGCATGTGTGTGTTTTCACGATCACAAAGTCGGTCGGAAGGGCAGGTGTAGCAAAGCCTATTTAAATATTCTATGTCTTCTGATGAGGGTAGCCATTTCTACATACTGCATCTATCCGTCTGGCAGCTTGGCATATTACGCGTCTACATCTGTGCTTCTACATGTACTGTATTCGCTGCTTGTCATTTTCGTTTGGAAGACGGAGGTGACCTATCACGTCCTCCTCCGAGGCGTCCATCCTTTACACCAAGACCTTGTAGGGATTCAAAATGCCCTGCGGATCCAAAGTGGCTTTCAGCGTCCTCGGAATGGTGCAGGTGGGGTCACCCTCAAAAGGGCTGAGCTAAAGGTTTGCGGATTAGGTCTTGGGCCTAGGCTTTTTGTTTAAGCTGAGGTGTCGGCTCTCTGCAAATACGGTACGATTCATTACGCCTGCCTGTGGCGGCTCAAGATTCCGGGCGTGGGGTAAACCCAACCGTGCCCTGAAACTCGCAACTCCACCTGAGGGCTTTGTGTGCAGGCGTTTTTGGTTCCGGATCTCCATGGCTGTATTGCTTGGATGCTTTACCGGGTGTCTTGCTTTCTCTTTGATTTCACCTGCACATGTGATGACACTGTGATTACACGTCACACCTGCGTGACAGAAGGTCACACTCCGACATGAACAAGCTGCAAGCCCACACTGCACGGCTCTTCGGACACTGCTCGCGTCCGAGAGTCTTCATCAAATCGACGGCGCTATCCTCAGATGCTTAGATCGTGGAAGCTCGTGTGCAGCGGATTCTTGGTTGCTGGTGGTGATGCGCGAAGGTTCGGCAAAAGAAAATGCACCTCCCACTGCAGCATCCAGACTGGCAACCGGCCCCAACCCCAAACCCTAATATAGGGGCCTTAATAATCAGAATAGGGTTTTGGGGCCCTACAACTAAAATAAGGACCCCCCAAAATAGTGTAGGTAATTACTAAGGCTCCCATAGTATATAACTAAACCCTGATCCTGACTTTCAAACGAAATTTGGGACCTGAACTCTGAGACTGCTCCCCCTGGCCGTGTCAGGAGGCTGCCTTGCTGAGGTGTAGGAAATGAGGCTTGCATTGGCCGATGCCATGCTCCGCACTGATGCCTGGGCCGTAGGACGAAGCTCAAGGATCATGTGAAACTTATGGGGCTGTGGCGAATTTGGGTTTATGTTTCGGGGCTTGTTGGGGCTTACATAGGGCTTGCAGTACTCCCCAGAGGGCCAGTTAACTCTGTCGCTCTGTCTGTCTGTCGGTCTGTCTGCCTCTCTCTCCCTCTCTCTGGGTTGTTTTCTTCATGCTTTCTTTATCTGTGTCTGACTTCGCTTCTGTCTTTCTTTCACAGTAAGTTAGTTTAATTCATTCCGTCCTTCTTTGAATATCTGTCTATGTCTATCTCTGTCTCTATATATCAATCTCTATCTCTATCTATCAACTATCTAACTGTGCAAACATACATATATATATATATATATATTTACATATACATACAAGTTCAACATGTTTGCTTACACACGCATATATATATATATACAGGTTGAATGTCTGTATGTGTTTACACATACATATGCATACACCTATGCAGACACAATACCTATGAACAGACAAAGACATGACCTAGACGTAGATACAGAAATAAACATACCGGGTGCCTTGTTTAGGAACAGCAACCGCCAAGAGGTGGCCGCGCTTCCCTTGCTTCCCTCAAACTACCATAACCTACTTTTTGTAGGTCCTTCTTAGAAACCCTTTTATAAACCCTAAACCCTAAACCTATCGGGGCCCTACAGAAAGCAGGTTTCGGTAGATCAAGGTCTCTGCCGTGCCCTTTAGCACGGCCGCACGTATCGAAAGGCCGGGCCGCTGCCGCTGGCCTTCGCCACCCACTCGAAAAGCCAGGGCTCCAAGAGATCCAGGACCTGATTGTGGGGTTTACTATCGGGGCCTTGATAAGTACCTATATTATTTTTGAGGGGGCTTCCTAATTATGGTTATAGTATAATGGGCCCCAAAATCCTATTCTACTTATTAAGGCCCCATATTAGAGGGTTTGGTGTTTTTTTGGATTTTAAGGTTTATGGTTGGAGTTCAGGGTTGAGGGCTTGGGGAGGGTCTGATCAAACGCTTTGGATCTGCAAGCAGCCCGGAAACCAAATCCAAAACCCTTGAATCTCGAACTCCCTATACCCCCCACCCTCCAAGCCTTGTCGTCCCGACCGGTCAGCGAAGTCACATTCAGGTGGAGATTTGCATCGCCTCCACCACTGATTTGGGTGGCGAGGCATTGTTAAAGAGTCCAGGGTTTTCGCTTAGGGTTTGCCTTGAACGCCTTAACCCCAAACACCTGCCTGTTTTGGGGTTCCTTGATATGACTTCCTTACCTTCTATAAATCCTCGTAGGTCTTTCGGGGTCCAGGTGGGGTTTGCAGACATGAATCTTTGCCAGGGGATGGAAACATGGGGACTGGAGCTACAACAGTATCGCAGCTGTTGCGATCTGCAACCACTGTCATCGCAGTCAGAAATCCTCCACGAGATACGCCGTAGTCCACATTGAGTTTGGACTGATCTCGAGAACAAAGAAGAAGAGTTACCTGCCTCGAAGCTATCAAATCGCTCTACAAGGCTTCCGACCATCCTGAAGCCTTTGACTGCAGTTCTTCTGACACGCTGCTCCCTTTGAGCTTGAAAACCGCAAGGACGATATTGAAAGCGTCGACAGAGACTGGAAAGGACCACGGAAAACCTGCCACAGTCCTTTCTTAAGCATTAAAGCCCCTACACTATGGTACCCTTATAGCTCCCTCATAGCATATAGCCCTTAGAAACCCCCTTCAAAGGGAACCCTATTCTAGAAGCCAAATCACGAAGATGTCCGGCCTAGATGCCCGTATCCGGCAGTTTTCGCCGACTCCTTTCGGATTCGTCCGCGCAAGCACAGCCACCCAGCCCGAATTTTACAAGAACATTAGGCGCATACTACAGAGGCCTTAATAGTTAGAATAGGGGTTTGGAGGCCATTATACTAGAATTATAACAAAAGGAAACCCCCAAATAGGATGGTGACAGAAGTAGTAGGTGCTGCAGCACTCATGACCAATGCAAAGCGGATCTTCGCAATCGCATTTCCACGTCTGCCCCTGCATTCCGGGGACAAAACCCCGGAGTCCAGCACTTAAGGTCAGATTGTCCTTACACTTACATTATAGTACCCTTATAGCTCCCTTACAGTAACCCTTATAGTTCCCTTTAAAGGGAACCCTACTCCAAATATTCTGACCAACCCGTCGCTCCTCCACACCTGCATCTCGGAGCCTGCCGAGCCCAGGCGGTCTGGGGCTTCGGGCTCTGAGGCCCTGGCTCAATGCGAGGGTTCTATGAGGGCTCTCTACATTTTCTCTATTTTACGATTTTGTCAAGGCTCTATACCATAAGGGGCTTTAAGGGAAAAGGACTCTGACACCTTAGGACACGTCGTGAGCGATGACCGATAGTCGCAACTGCTCCGCTGTGAGACCGAAGCAGCCTTGCCCGCGTGTCTTCGACCAGCTCATACATGCGAGGAAGTGGCAGCGATACATCGTATTTGTACACCTTGGCTTCAGTGCTTTGCATACTGCTGAAGCTCGTGACGGGGCTACCCATGCAGATGTAGGCGACATCCACTAGTCTGCTACGTGTGTTGGTTGACTCTGTGCATTTGCGAAATTTGCGAGCCATTCGGTGCAACGGGTGTGCGCTTGGCATCGAGGGCAGTCCGGCACCAGAGTGTGTTCTTCTGTCATCTGAAGGGCTCACGATGCCTTAGCATTTCGATTTCGTTCAGGTTTGCTCGTCCATGCCGGACGTGACCTCTGTATACCAGCCTGGTCAGGCTCACACGTGAAGCGGACATATCTTCAAATGAACTTCTGGCCTGAGAATGACTGACATTACAGCTCACATCCGGATTTCACGGCCAGGAGACATAACCTGCCGTTGTCATCGCATCACTGACGCCTTCGCGAAGCCTCCAAATGGCGCGGGCCTGCATCTATGCGCGGACTCCAAGACATGCTTGGGGCTCACAACTTTGTGGGTGCAAGGTTAAGTATGATTGATCCTCCAAAAAGGCGCTGAGGATTTCAGCAAAGATTCCAACAAGCTATCGATTTAGGGGTCAAGTCACGTGTAGTATCTGACCGACCCGACACGGTGGTGTACCCGGTCGTGTGCAACGTGGAGCTACAATCACTTTTGCAAGTTGCGTCAGTAGTGCCTTCTTACAATCCCCTGTGGTCGTCACGGAGGCAGTTGCATCGCACACTGGCTTGACGTAGATCTCAGTACGTCCCGTTCTCGGGACGAGGTGTGAACTCACTGTACAACAGGCTCACTGTATGAAATTCACTGTACAATAGACTCACTGTATGAAAGAGCAATCCACCGGTGGGTCTGACATCCTCAGCTGTTCCAGTGCCAAACACGGCGTATCTTAGGCTACAGGCTCTCGTTAGGGCTCAGGCTTCAAGGTCCTGGGATCCACTCCTAGCTTCAAGCAAGTGTCAAGCTGGAATCCTTGCTCACGACGACCTGCTGCATCTTCATGACGTTGAACAGCCAGAGCGGAACTACTTGGATCCACTGCATCCAGAATCTCACCGTTTGCTTCTCGACCTCCCTGGCGTGTTTCTCGTAACACTTCTTGGTCTCCTTCGCCAGTTTCTCGACCTGGTCGTTGGCTTCAGATCAAGATAAACCCCTGTGAAATCCCTAGAGACGAAAGGCCAAAGCTTTCCAGCGAAAAGCAAACAGGATTTCGACTTTTGAGCTAGCCCCGCCTGCTTTGCGCTGTATTTGGGATGAAAGCGGGTCATGTAGTGATATTGTTCGATCATTTCTTGTTCGAACCCCACCTTCCACTTGCAGTCGTCTTGCCAAGTGTCCTTGTACTTTGCCTTCATGAATACCACGCGCCCAATACGTTCATAGTATTTTTCCTTGGGACCTTCGACGTAATGCTCCAGGGCATTCAACCTGCGACCGAGTTGCTCCGTTGCTCGCTCGTAGACTCGCAAGGCGTAGCAAAGCGAGAGCTTCCCGAAGCTGTTCTTGTGTCCTGGGGGCGGCAAGTGGGAATTTAGGCCTTCAGGCCTTCAGAGTGCAGGGTGTTAAGCAAGTTGACTTAGGTTTAAGCTCTTTTGTGGCCTTGGGTGCGGGTGGCATTGTACCCCAGAAGGTTGCTCATCACACTGATGTGCAAGCCGGCGAACTGAGACAAGTAGCTGGCTTCTGTCGTTTCGGCCTCACGCACAAGGAAGAAGGGGGCATCCGTGAGCATTGTTTCGTGGACAAGAAGCAACTTGTGGTACATGGTGTCTCTGACATGGTCTGGCATGTGCTCGATCGTCCCGTTATCGAAATGCTTTGAGTCGTGGAAGGCTGTGTTGTTCAGCTCCCACAAAGCCAACTTGTAGCCCTTCAAGTATGCAGTCCAGATCTCCTCGAACTTCTTATCCAGCTCTTGCTTGACCTGGGAAGGCTTTCGGAGACCCTTTTCGAAAACTTCTCTTGCTTCTGTGGAACAGACTATACTAGAATCAGAACGACTGGTCTTCAAGAACGACCTAGTGGCGAACTTCTGCACAAAAGGCTTGATTTGCTCCCAAACGCACTTGCTCCAATCATCGCCGCCGGCATGTGAGCAGGGGTTTTCTGGCAGGCTACCAGGGCTTGGGAAGAATTCGCCGAGGAAGCCACCAATGAAGCTGAAAGCAAGGGCGCCCTTCATGGCAATGATTCCCGCTTGTTGAGCAAGTTGTGAGACGGTGTCGATGGCTAAGCCGGCCGTAATCTCGGCCGCTGACATGGCAAACTCCGCCCCCGGGTTCTCACTCAGGTGCTTCTGGACGTTGGTGGTGCACTTGTCTGCATCTGGACAATCTTTCGAAGTCTCGCTCTTCACAATGCTCTTCGTCTGTGCCAAGGACTTTTTGGAGGTCTTCTCCCGCTTGAAATACATCTCCATCGACTGCGGCTGATCAACGTCTGCCTGGCACAGCACCTGAAGCCTCAGTAAGGTCATCGATCTTGGCCGTCCATCGTCGTCATCCAGCCCCTCCCGCCCCGCCCAGTCCCGTGCAAAGCTTTCTTGCAAGAAACAGGCAAGATTCTTAGCTTCACAGGCCAGAGTGTTACCGACAAATGGGGCAGGGCAGGGCAGGCCGGGCAGGTGAATGCAGCGCTTGCAGTCACGCTTCTTGCGCTGCAGCCAGCCCACTGCGTCACTCGACTCCTCGCACTCGCCGTTCTGGTAGCAAGAGGCACCGTATGCGCTGCAGGTCGTGGCCAGAAGAAGCCATGAACGCGTGACCAAGAAGTACGCCATTGGTCCTGGGTCTGAGGGTTCCCCAATGGCTGTGCGAAAGATTGAGAGGCCTCGTTCTGGAGCCGAGAAAATCTCGCGGAGAGTCTGCTCCTTTCACGCACGGATGCCGCGACAAGCTGGTGCTCTGACTTGTGGCAAGGGTCGCGGCAAACGAACAGCTTTGGGTCTGCATGCATGGAAAGCGAACAAGCGTGCTCCATCCAAGAAAAAAATCAAACGCTCGCTGTCTCAGAGTCCTATGTGCCCTGCACCCTGCAGCTACACCCTTGCCCGCAGAGCCAGAAGAATTGTGGCTTAGTTGGTGTCCCTAGCGGATCCTGCGCGCTGCGGTCTGGCCCGCTAGTTTCGTTCTTCCAAACAGGGTCTGCCCTGCAAACTCAGCTTAATTTTGCAGTGTCCAAACGTTAACCAACTTCTGGGACCATGCTGGGAATATAGCACCCCAAGAGGTTAGACGTTACTTACTCTGCTAAGAGTACTAGACTAGGTTAGGCTGTCCGAGACGAACCTGTGTCTCATCTGCTGCCACCACGCCATCACGCACAGCCGGATCGCCATCTCCAGACATAGCGGCCTTCGTAGATGTGCACATACATACATGCGTGCATGCACACATACGTACAAAGATGGTTCAACAATTTGCGTATACTCGTATCAGGCAAAAAGAATGTGGTACAGATCTGCCTGTATCAAAACCTACATAATGTGCTACATGCACTTTACACGCAATACCCACACAGGTACATTTTATATATATATATATATATATATACATATACATATGTATACACATATATAGAGCTCGAATCGATCGTTAGCCCCAGTGCTCATGGAGGGCACGCCTTCACCTGGCGCCGCACTTGCGAGGCGGCATGCAGATCTTTGTCAAGACCTTGGACGTTGAGGCCAGTGACAAGGTCGACAACGTCAAGGCTAAGTCCCAAGATAAGGCAGGCATCCCGCCCGACCAGCAGCATCTGATCTTTGCTGGCAAGCAGTTTGAAGGCGGCCGTACTCTTTCGGATGACAACCTCCAGAAGGAATCGACCCCTGGCGGCATCCAGATCTTTGTCAAGACCCTGATGCTCACCTTGGACGTTGAGGACGAGCAGCACCTGATTTCTGCTGGCAAGCAGTTTGAGGGCGGGCGTATTCTTTCGGATTACAACCTCCAGGTGGAATCGACCCCTCACTTGGCGCCGCACTTGCGAGGCGGCATGCAAATCTTTGTCAAGACCTTGGACGTTGAGGCCAGTGACAAGTTCGACAACGTCAAGGCTGAGTCCCAAGATAAGGCAGGCATCCCGCCCGACCAGCGGCACCTGATATCAGTTTGAGGGCGGCCGTACTCTTTCGGATGACAACCTCCAGAAGGAATCGACCCTTGGCGATGGTAAGTGCGATCGTGACATGCGGCGCTATGAGTTCAAGATTGAAGGCACTAATTAACGTTGCTTATACGATAATTATTTACGATAGGCGAGCGCCTTGACATCTGGCCCCGCAGCCCGGTAGACCAGGTCCTGGAGTTCTGCGGCATGTCGACGGGTTTGTTGGGCGCTCGCTTTCGTTAGACTCGGACCTCACACGTGTTGGTGTGTACATACGCGGTCACTGTATGCAGCGGCACGTCTGAGAGGGCACAGTGATGTTCAATTTTCCATTGCGGGGGACCTACCCTGTAGTTGGCCTCCCCTGTTCCCTGGAGGAATAAGCTCAGGGTTCAAGTGTGAATGCGTTGTACATGGCACTGTTTCGAGTGGGACGTGGTTTCAATGAAACCACCATGTGGGGCTTTGAAAGGCTTTGTCTTGTAGTTTGCCTCCCCCGGCCCCCGGAAGAATGCTCAAGATAGTACTGCTTTTGTTCGGTTGCCGGCTGTGAAAGGTTCTACGGTGACAAGTAGAACCTCAATCGAGCCCGGTTGCGTACATAAGGTAGCGTTTTTGCTTTCAGTCCGAGTGCCAGGCAATTGTAAATTGTGTATGGCATGTCCCCATCAATGCCGGCAGCGGCTGTCCCTTGATGGCTCTAGTTTTGACTTTTTGAAGAGATGCGCATGGCCGAGACGGCTTTTGTACATGCTGGTTCCATCTTGGCATGCTTCCTCTTCTGCAGATGTCTGCTCCGCTCGGGTTTATTCCGGGCGAGTGCACACTGCTTCAACCCTGAATTCATTGCTAGGCGTGCGTCCTCTGGACCCTGAACGCTACGAAGATACATATATATATATATATATATGTATGTACATATATAGATACATATATACATACATACATATATACATATATACATATATACATATATACATATATACATATATACATATATACATATATATGCTCACCCCCCCCCATGACAGACCGTCGTGGGGAAGGGGAAGGGTGGCGTTCGTCCCCAGGCAGGATCTGTCAACGGATAGGCGACAGACACTTCTCCCAAACTCAATTCCAAAATGTTCTTTTAGATGGTCTGCAATTTTTGGAAGTTTCTTCACATGCATGCAGCGCTCCTAATCCCAATCTTAATCTCAGTTCTGCTCTTCGTACCACTATTACTGTTTGTAGATCTTAATTCTTGTATCAGTGTTAGCATTAGTATTAGTTTTGTGGTAGCATTGATATTAGGATGTTTAGTATTAGAAATAGTATTCGAATTAGTATTACTATTAGTATTAGCATTAAGTATGTGTATTGATATTAATAGTAGTAGTCGTCGTACTAGCACTAGTTGTCGCACAGTAGTAGTAGTGGTAGCATCAGTATTGGTATTAGTATTAGTATGAGTATTAGTATTGGTATTAGTGACTAGTATGAGTATCAGTGTTAGTTTTAGTATTAAGTATGTATACTAGTAGTAGTAGTAGTAGTCGTAGTAGTAGCAGTAATAGTAGCAGTAGTAGTGGTGACATTAGTATTAGTATGAGTATGAGTATTAGAATTAGTGCTAGTATTAGTACTAGTATTGGTGTTAGGATTAATATGTATTGTTCTTGGTTCTAGTCTTAGTACTGCTGTCATTGTTTGTAGTAGTCCTAATCCTGGTATCAGTGTTCATATGAGTAATAGTTTTGTGGAAGTATTGATATTAGGATGGGTATTGCTTTAGTACTAGTATTGGTATTGGTATTTAGTATTAGTATTAGCATCAGTATTAGTATTACTATTGAATAAAAGTATACATATCAATAATAGTAAATATGAACTCGTGATTATGTTCGTGCTGGTGTTAGTGCCAGTGTCGATGTCAATGTCAGTAATAGTACTCGTGTTAGTATTAGTATCAGTCTGAATGCTGGTTTTAGTATCTGTTTATTATTCACAGAAGCGCTGGTATTAGTATCAGTATTAGAAATAGTTTTGATATGTGAATATACTGATTGATTCGTACATTTTGAGCTTAATATAATAATACAGTAATGTATTCGAACCAAAGTATATTTGCATAGTTGAAGATTACGTGAATATATTAGTACGTTGGTGCATGAGTACATTAGTATTTTGGTGTATCATGATATTCGTATGTTAAAGTAGTAGTATATTAGTACATTATTATAGTGGTCTATTACTACATTTACTATATTCGTATTTTACCTAATAGCTTATAGGTATATCAATATGTTGGCATAATGGCATGTGAACATGTCAGTGTACTTGCCTTTTACAGTATTCGTATATTAGTACACTAGCATATTTAGTGATAATTAGTGTTAATGCCAGTGCCAATGTCGATATCAGTTTTAATCAGTCTTAATGATGAATTTAACATCAGTATAATATTCGCGGACGTGCTAGTATGCGTATCAATACTATAATTAGTTTTGATATATTAGTATACTGATAGATTATATAAACAGCTTAGTATACCAACACATTATAATGTATTCGGACAGTAATATGTTTGTATACCTGTATGTTTGTATGCTCTTAGTATATTAATGCATGCGTACGTTCGTGCATGAGTACATTAGTATATTGTATATTGGTGTGCTATTATCTTCGATTATTAACATGTTAGAGTATGAGTATCCTGGTATGCTACTTCATTTATCATATTCGTATATTATCTAACAACTTTTTTGGTATATCCATATGTTAGTATACCATTGCCATGTGTCAGTGCACTTGCATATTACAGTATTCGTGTCTTAGCAAATTAGCATATCAATACAGTATAATCAGACGTTAACAAGTAGTATACTGTTACCTTGGAAACTGGGTATATGACAAATACGAATATACTCCGTTAGTACACGAATGCATTGATATTTTTGCTTTTCAGATAGTGGTATGTATATCTGCGGACATTAGTATACGCAGGTGTCTGTTAGTATTGGCATTAATATCAATATGAATATGGCCATTGGTAGGCGTAGGAGTATTAATGGTAATAATAGTAATAGTAATGTGCATATTCGTAATAAAAGCATTAATATAAATGTCAACGTTAGTGTTAATGCTGGTATTATCTTGAATACCCAACACATTATCAATGTCAGTATTAGTATTGGTGATGGTATGATCAGAGAATGTGAGTTAGCTTCGTAGGAGTATCACTACTTATATGAACAGTGATACAAGTAGAAATATTGGCATTAGTATTAGTGAAAGTATTGGCATTAATACTCATATGCATATGATGACGTGTATTCGCCGGAATATTTGCAGTAGTCTTACTTTGGACTTTCGTATTAGAATTGCCCCAGTTCTCGAGTTCTCGAGCCGAAGCGGGGGACGTGGCTTTGGAGGACTTTCCAAACAGCCTATGGGCGGGGGCAAAGGCCGTGACTGACACAAGGATGCACCCAAAACCAAAAAACCAAAAAACCAAAGTTTCACGGAGAATGCCGGAACAGTTTTGGTTTCTTGTTGTTTTGTTTTTTTGGTTTTTTTGGCTTTTACATATCGAAACCAAAAACCAAAAAAACAAACATCCAAAAAAACAAAAATCCAAAAAAACAAAAAACAAAAACTGTTCCTGCATTCTCCGTGAAACTTTGG